GACAGACAGACTCAGACTCAGTAACAAGACTGGCAGTGAAGTCTAGACGACAGGCAGCAGCAAAGTCAACAAGCTCAGCGACAAGAGCAGACGCAGCAGCAGACTCAAACGACGGGTCAGTGACAACTGTGGCTAGGAGACGCGTGACAGTAGGGTGCTCAGCACGAAACCGGTCAGACGCCGGGTCCGGAACGTCAGGCAAAGAGGACGCAGGAGGAGACGGCAGAGGAACAGGCTGCGGAACAGAGGAAGGACGACGGACTACGAGGTGTGCACTGGGGACAGCCGGTGGACGCGAACGAGGAACACGACGACCAGGACGAGCAGGCGAGACAGGACGCGATGCAGGCTCACGACGCTCAGCAGGACTACCAGTCAGCTCCGTGTAAGGAGAAGGAGCAGGCAGCGGCGAGCCAGACTGTAACGGAAGACCAGTAGACGACGGAAGAGTAAGAACCTGACGAAGAACAGAGGCAGACGGCGGTAGAGACGACGGAGACGGCGGAGCGAAGAACAGTCGTGTCGGCGCAGCTGCACCAGTACCAGCAGCTCCAGCAGCTCCAGTGCCTCCAGCAGCTCCAGAAGCTCCAGGCCCAGAGCCGACACCTCGAGTCCCAGGGTCTCCAACCCCTGCGTCTCCAGCAGCAGCACCCCCAGAACCAGCACCTCCAGTCCCAAGGTCTCCAGCCTCAGTGTCTCTAGCAGCAGCACCCCCAGAACCAGCACCTCCAGCTCCAGGGTCTCCAACCTCAGTGTCTCCAGCAGCAGCACCCCCAGAGCCAGCACCTCCAGTCCCAGGGTCTCCAGCCTCAGTGTCTCCAGCACGACTCCGAGCTCCAGCAGCGCGACGCTGACGGCGACCGTACCAGTCCTGCAGCTGCTGTGGGGTGAGAGGCACACGGGGACGAAGGCGGCCACTCCAAGGAGACCGCGCAACAGCAGACTCAGAACCCTCAGCGCCCGCACCCCCAACGGCTCCAGAACCTCCGGTGGCAGTACCCTCAGCACCAGCACCCCCAGCGGCTCCAGAACCTCCAGCGCGAGCACCCTCAGTAGCTCCAGAACCTCCAGCTCCAGCGCCACCAGGACTAGGCCCTCCAGCAGCTCCTGAACCTCCAGCGCCAGCACCCTCAGTAGCTCCCGAACCTCCAGCGTCAGTACCGCCAAGCTCAGCACCCCCAGACCCCTCACACTCAGGCTCAGCACCACCAGGCTCTACACCCTCAAGCTCCGCACCCGCAGGCTCAGTACCCCCAGACTCAGCACCCCCAGGCTCCGCACCCCCAGGCTCAGCACCCCGAGCAGGACCACTCGCAGTAGGACCTGAGTCACCAGTGACCTCAACCGGCGCAGTAAAGGGAGGAGGGTCTACCTGAGAAACACCTGAAGGAGCAGGACCGGGAGCGGGGAGGGGGTCTACCTGGGGAGCACCTGGAGCGAGGAAGAGCGGCGGGGGGGGGAGCGAGGCAGTGCGGTAGGGGAAGAGACGGTAAAAGGGAACCGACTCGTCGAACGTGACGTCCTGAGACGCAAAGACAACCAGGTAAAACTGCCAACCAGGCGTGTCAGGGACAAAGCCAAGGAAGACACAGGGAACAGCGCGGGCGGAGAGCTTGTCCGCGGTGGTATCACGGACAAAGGCACGAGCACCCCAGACCCGGAAACGCGACGCATCGCCAACCTTCCCCGTCCACAGCAGTGTGGGCGAGGTCTCCGGCAAGGAGACACGGGGCCAGAGGTTGAGCTGATGCGCGGCGTACCGGACCGCAAACGGCCACAGAAAATGGGGGGCAGCCGCATGGATCATGGAGGTACGAGCGACCTCCATGACTAAGCCAATGCGGCGCTCAGCAACCCCATTCTGCTGCGGAGAGGCCGGAAGCGTGAACGACTGGGTGATGCCGTGCTCCGCACAGTAGGCTGCCAAGAGGTCGGAGGAGAACTCACCACCTCTGTCAGAGTGCAGACGCAGGACAGGAAAGTCCGACCGGAACCGCTCGCGGAGCTGGAGACGAACAGCGCGGATCCAGGGGATCAGAACAGCAGGGACGTCCCCCTTGCTCTGCAAGGGGAAGACCGTGGTGTAACGCGTGTAGTCGTCGACGACCAGCAGGAAGTACCGCTCGCGGCCCTGTCCCTGGACGCGGGCCGGGCCCCACACGTCCAGGTGGAGCGTCTGCAGTGGAGCCTCTGTGGGAGGAAACGAGGAGGAGTGAGGAGCGGCGCGCTGCCGCCCCTCGACGCAAGGAATGCAGGGCGGCGCAGGCGAGGGAGGGAGGGCAGGCAGAGACCTGGGAAGACCAGAGACCAGGGAGCGAGAGTGCATGGTACGCAGGCGAGGCAAGGAGGGGTGACCAAGGCGGTGGTGCCACAGGAGAGTGTCGTGCGACAAAGCGCGACACTCGCAGGGGGCCGCCAGCTGACCAGACACAGACGCAGACGCAGCTACCGGAGGGGACTCAGTGGTGAGTGTGTACAGACTCGAGCCAGGCGCACGGGTAAACGTGGCCAGGTGTTGGCCCGTCCGAGCACACGTACAGCGGGTCACTCGCTGACCCGCAGGAGTGAACTGGTGAACCCCTCCATCCTGGAGGTCAGCTCCCGCCACCAAGTTCGTAGAGAACGAGGGGAGGTAAAGACCTGACAGGAAGCCAGACGGGACGGCCGGACACGGCAGAACCGTGGAGTAGTGGGCAAGGACTGGGCCCCCGGAGGGGTCCGCCAGGGAGACTGGAACTGGCCGACGGAGCGGCGTGAGTGTGGTGCAGTCGCGAAAGAAGGAGCGGGAAGCTCCTGAGTCAAGGGTGAAGGTGTGCGAGACCGCAGAGGGCGCAGTACCAGAGAGAGCAGACTCACCAGCACCTGAAGCCACGGCCTCACCAGCACCTAGAGCAGAAGACGTACTAGCACCTAGAGCAGCAGCCTCACCAGCACCGAGAGCAGCAGGCTCTATACCAGGGTCAGGCGGTACGCACGGGCAACAGGCACGGTCAGCACTAGTAGACAATGCATACATGGCAGTGAGAATAGCATCATAGTCAAGCGCAAAGATATCGACCCTCTGTCTATGCAGCTCCAGCCAGGTGGGGAGCTCAGCCTCGTCGCCAAACACTGTGCGCCAGTCGTCGCTCAGACGGGCGAAGCAGCGGGACTGTGTGTGACCAAGCGTCCCACAAGGCTGACCAGTCCTATCACCTGTGCGAATGACGTACGGGCAGCGGACTGTACGCGTAGACCTGCTACACTGAGCGTACCACTCCTGGAGCTGCGAATGACGTACGGGCAGCGGACTGTACGCGTAGACCTGCTACACTGAGCGTACCACTCCTGGAGCTGCCGGGGCGTAAGTGGCTCACGTGGACGTCCCTGCAGCTGCAGCTGGCCACTGCCAGACGCTCCCAACTGACCAGCTCCAGGGCGACAGCTACGACGGCTACCGCGACAACCCCAGCTAGTATACCACTCACTAAGCTGCTGGGGCGTCAGAGGCTCGCGTGAATGTCGCTGGAGCTGCATCTGGCCTCCTGCCAGTAGCAGTAGCGCAGGCAAGGCAGGCGCGGCAGGCAGGCAAGCAAGCAGGCAGGCAGGCAGGCAGGCAGGCCGGCAGGCAGGCAGGCAGGCAGGCAGGCAGGCAGGCAGGCAGGCCGGCAGGCAGGCAGGCAGCCAGGCAGGCAGTCAGGCAGGCAGGCAGGCAGGCAGGCAGGCCGGCAGGCAGGCAGGCAGCCAGGCCGGCAGGCAGGTAGGCAGGCAGGCAGGCAGGCAAGTAGACACGCAGGCAGGCAGGCAGGCAAGCAGGCAGGCCGGCAGGCAGGCAGGCAGGCGCTCACCAAAGGCTGGGAGAGCAGGGCCGGCGGCCGAGTAGGCGCACGACAGCGGCGACGTCGGGGCCGCAAAACCGGCTGCAGAGCAGGGCCGAAACAGCTGGAGGGCGGGGCCGCGTCAGCGGCAGTAGCAGGGTGGGGCCGCGTCAGCGGCAGGTCGGGGCCGTGGCAGCTGCAGGGCGGGGCCGCATCAGCGGCAGGTCGGGGCCATGGCAGCTGCTGGGCGGGGCCGCATCAGCGGCAGGTCGGGGCCGAGGCAAAGGGCCGCGCGCGGTCGTGCTAGGGAGAAGCGAGCCGCGCGCGGCTCGGCGCGGGCTGTTGCGGGCCGCGCGCGGGCCGTGCGAGGCAGGAGCAGGCCTCGCGCGGCTCGGCGCGGGCTGCTGCGGGCCGCGCGCGGGCCTCGCGAGGCCGTAGCAGGCCGCGCGCGGCTCGACGCGGGCTGCGCGGGCTCGGCGCGGGCTGCGCGCGGCAGCTGCGAGCTGCGCGCGGCTCGGTGCGGGCTGCGCGCGGTTGCAGCGGGCTGTGCGCGGCTCGGTGCAGGCTGCGCGCGGCTGCAGCGGGCTGCGCGCGGCTCGGTGCGGGCTGCGCGCGGCTGCAGCGGGCTGCGCGCGACTCGGTGCGGGCAGCGCGCGGTAGCAGCGTGTGTGCGGGCGTGTTGTAGAGGCGTGTAGAGGCGTGTAGAGGCGGCGCGCGGGCCTTACGGGCCTCTAGGGGCAGCGCGCAGGCAAGGCAAGGCAAGGCAAGGCATACAAGGCAAGGCAAGGCTACGTGGGGTAGCGCGGTAACCGCAGCGGTAGGTGGGCCCGAAAAAAAAAAAAAAAAAAAACGGTCCTACGGACCTTAGTGCTCTGAAACCATGTTAGAATCTACAGGCAGGAATGAGTGCATTGAATGAAACAGTTGGTACAAGTAGCAAACCCTAGTTGGGGTTGTACCCCATATTGGCTACCCCACTACAGCCTACCAACATTTAACACTTCGCTTCCCTGGTAAGGTGAAATTCGTTTCTGTATTTCGACTGATTTTCAGATATAAAATTGGCATGCGCTTATAATAAATCATGAATTTTTAGGGGGTGCGCTTATAATCGAGGACCGGATATAAGCGCCCTCATCCTTTTATAAGCGCCGGCGCTTATCCGAGGCCTGCGCTTCTATCCGGGGGCTTACGGTAGCATAATCAAGGTGTCCCTGCTGACGGAACACCCCCCTTAACAGCTGCTCCATTACCAATACTAGCACCCTGCTGTCCCACCAGCCTCTGCAGCAGCAGCTGTGCTCGCTGCAGCAAGCGCGACGTGAGGCCGGGGCGGCGAAGAGGTGCTGGGTTGAGTGCTCTGATGGAGTTGAGGCAAACTAGGAGCGTACCACCCTCGTGAAGCAACACCTGAGGTAACATTTGTAACGAGAACAAGGGGAAACAAGGAGAGGAGAGCAGGGGAGATGTGAGGCTGGGGCGGCGAAGAGGTGCTGGGTTGAGTGCTCTGATGGAGTTGAGGCTAACTAGAAGGGTACCACCCTAGTGAAGCACAAGTGCTGAGAAGGATTCGAGTCAAATTAAAACACACCCACCCCATCGCACGCACTCTGAGCCAGAATGATATGTGCTCCAAAAGTGATTCTAATTGACTCAAACCACACCCCACTTCACTCCACAGCACCCAACCCTAATTCACCCCACATCCCACCCATGCTGCACACACCGTGAGCCAGAGAGGCAAGTGCCCCAGAAGTGTTCTGAATTGTCTCAAACCATACTCCACCCCGTTCCAACCCATCCCACACCCAAACACCCTACCCCAGCCCACTTCAACCACCCACCCACCCCACCCCACTTTAAACACCCGCCCACCCCACCCCACTTAAACCACCCGCCCACCCCACCCCACTTAAACCACCCGCCCACCCCACCCCACTTTAACCACCCGCCCACCCCACCCCACACCCACTCCAAAGCACACACCGTGAGCCAGAGAGGCATGTGTCCCAGAAGGGCAGGGAGCAGCGCAAGTAGAATGCAAGTGAGTGCAAGAGCCACACTCTGCTTCACCTGGTGTGGGGATGGGGTTGGAGGAGCACAGAGAAGGGGAGAGCTGTGAAACAGAGGGAAAGGAGAGTTAGGAAAGGAGTTCAAGTAGAATACGAGTGAGTGCAAGAGCCACACTCTGCTTCACCTGGTGTGAGCACACAACACGGACAAGGCCAAGTACGGGGTTGGAGGAAAGGGCGCGGAGGAGCACATTCTAACAACTTCATGCCTTTTTTTTTTTTTTTTTTTTTTTTTTTTGGTCTCATAACAGAAAAATTGATGCGTGGAAACATATTGTTCTCACAATGAGCGTGGTTTGGCGAGCCTTGGCCACTAGGAACGGGAGCTCGGAGATATTGTCCTTCAATAGAAGCACGTCTGCTGCTGCCACTGCTGTTGCGCTTGCTCTTTCTGCCAGGACCACCCCGACCTGTCGTGCGTGAGACACAAAGTGATGTGACACAAAGGGATGTGACACAAAGGAATGTGACACAAAGGGATGTGACACAAAGGGATGTGACACCAAGGAATGTGACACAAAGGAATGTGACACAAAGGGATGTGACACCAAGGAATGTGACACAAAGGAATGTGGGGCTAGCAAACATGAATGTGACGCGACATTAATGAATTTCGAGCAGGTGAGAAGGAGGAGAACAGAAGGACTTGAAATAGAATAAGAAAGCACCATATTGCAAGTCATGTGACTGATACATGATTTGAGGCCAAAGCACGTGGAAGAGCATTCACATGACTTACCGTGGCAGCAGCAAGCGCAGGCGCGTCATTGATCCCATCCCCGACCATCAGCACGCCTCCCCTCCCCTCCCTCCCCATCCTCCCAGTCATCTCCTCAACCGCCCTCAGCTTATCCTCTGGTCGCAACCCTGCCTGCACCTCCCCTCCCTCTATCCCCACTGCAGCCGCCACCCTGTGGGCCGAAGCTGCATGGTCCCCCGTGAGCATTTGCACTCTCAGCCCACCCTGCTGCTGCAGCTGCCGAACCACTTCTTTTGCTCCGGGCCGAAGCTGGTCTTCGAAGTGGAAGAGCGTTACCTTTTGCCCCACTGCTAGTGCTGCTCGGATTAGGTCGCTTGTGGGGAGAGTTGGCAGTGGTGCTAGTGGTGAGAGGGGTGAGAGGGGTGAGTGTGGTTGGGTTGACTGGGATATAGATGGTGTGCTGCTGCTGCTGCTGCTGCTGCTGATGTGGCGTCAACTGATTGTGCAGCTGCTGATGCTCCTCCTGCTGCCTTTTCTCTATCGCCGTCCCGTCCTGCTCCTGTTGCCCTGCTGGCCCAATAATTTTCTGCCACCTCAGCAATGAAATCCAGGGAGCCGATGCGAGCCTCGTGCGGGCCCCACTTGTCGCCCTGTGATTGGCCGAGAAGGTGGACGGTGGGAGAGCAAAGCAAAGAAAGGAAACGAACCCAGAACTATGAAGGGGTGAAGGGTGGTGATGGGTGATGGAAATCGGTGTTGTAAAGCAGAAGTAGTGAGGAAGAGGAAAGCAGACGAGAGGATAGAGTAGAGAGAACGAAGAACCTTTTATGGGGGAACTCAATCAATTGAATCAGAGTTGCACCACACCATGTCACAACAGTACACCTTAGTACCGCATTGCACCGCACGGCACCCACCCATCTCACTCACCTCGCCAGGCATGCTAGAAATGGTGGCAGCAGCGAGCCCTCGTCTTGAGACCAGCAGCTTTGCTTACCACATCCCCATCAACTCAATCGGCACCACACCGCACAACACCTCACAGCACAACTTTGTACCGTGCCACACTGCACTGCACCACAACAAACCGCACTGCACCCATCTCACTCACCATGCCAGGCATGCTAGAGATGGTGGCTGTGAGCCCTCGCCCCGGCACCAGCCCCAAGCTGATCCACATCCCCATTCACCCAACAAGCACCGCACTGCACCACACTACCATTTACAACAAACCTTAGCACCACACTGCGCTGCAGAGCACCCATTTTCACCTCGCCAGGCAAGCTAGAAATGGTGGCAGTGAGCCCTCGCCCCGGCACCAGCTGCAGCTGATCCACGTTCACTCCCGTGAGGGTGGCTCGCCTGCTATCTGCATACTCCTGTAGGGCCCTGTCAATAAGAACACAGGGAAAAAAGAGCAGGAAGCGAGGGGGGTGAGCCCTCCCCCTAGCACCAGCTGCAGATGATCCACATTCACCCCAGTTAGAGGGAGTTTTTGAGAATTCTCAAGAATTCTGCCTGCTTCTGCCTCCCCCTAGCACCAGCTGCAGATGATCCACATTCACCCCAGTTAGAGGGAGTTCTTGAGAATTCCACATTCTCAAGAATTCTCAAAAACAGCCTGCCTGCTGTCTGCATATTGCTGTAGGGCCCTGTGGAGGAGGGAAGAAAGAAGGGGGCAAGAGGAACGGGGTAAGATATGCGTGATTCTTGGGTGAGTCCTCTCCCAGGCACCAGCTGCAGCTGATCCACGCTCACTGCGACGAGAGTGGCCCCCCTGCTGTCTGCATACTCCTGTAGGGCCCTGCAACGGGGGGAAAGAGAGTAGAGAAAATGGGCGGGGAGAGGGGGATGTGATGCCGGGATGTTTTGAGACGTCTCAAAACACGGCGGGGAGAGGGGGATGTGATGCCGGGATGTGAGCCCTCGCCCCGCCCGGCAACAGCTGCAGCTGATCCACGTTCACTCCGGTAAGAATATATCTTCTGCTGTCTGCATATTCACGTGTAGAGAGGGTGTTTTTGAGACGTCTCTCCTGTCGTGTCTAAGACACGACTCGACATCCCTTCACCCCAACTCAACGCACCTGGCAATGGGGTGTGTGGCGGTTTGCTCGAGTGCAATGGGGTGCAGCAGCCACTGCTAGTGCCTCCGCCTCACAGCTTGCAGTGCTCTGCTGCACCCCACCACCTACCCTGTGTATGCACAGTGGATGTTTGAACAATTCACCCACACACAGTCAGCCCACACTCATCATACCTGGCAATGGGGTGTGTGGCGGCTTGCTCGAGTGCAGCAGCCACTGCTAATGCCTCCGCCTCACAGCTCGCACTGCTGCACTCCACCACCACGCCTGTCTCCTCCCACTCGTGGCTGTGGCTGTGTCCACACACCATCCCTCTATCCTCCATTGCACATGCCTCCTCCCAAAAACTATCATTGGCGTGAGGAGCGGTTGGAGAGGAGGAGGAGGAGGAGGAAGGGGAGGAGGAGGAGGAAGAGGAGGAGGAGGAGGAAGGGGAGGAGGAAGAGGAAGGGGAGGAGGAGGAGGAAGGGGAGGAGGAAGAGGAAGAGGGAGAGGAAGGTGTGGAGTTGGAAGTGGAGACTGGGGAAGAGGGGGTGAGGAGGGAAGGAGTGGTGTGCGGTGCGTGGGAGTGCAGAGGTTGGATGAAGCGAAGGGCGAGCTGGCCGGTGGTGAGCGTGCCGGTCTTGTCAAACGCGACTGTGTCGCACGCTGCTGTGGCGTCTAAGGCATGGCCGCCCTTTAGCAGGATGCCCTGATGGGATGGGATGGGATGGGATGGGACGGGACGGGACGGGACGGGACGGGACGGGACGGGACGGGACGGGACGGGACGGGACGGGACGGGACGGGACGGGACGGGACGGGACGGGACGGGACGGGACGGGACGGGACGGGACGGGACGGGACGGGACGGGACGGGACGGGACGGGACGGGACGGGACGGGACGGGACGGGACGGGACGGGACGGGACGGGACGGGACGGGACGGGACGGGACGGGACGGGACGGGACGGGACGGGACGGGACGGGACGGGACGGGACGGGACGGGACGGGACGGGACGGGACGGGACGGGACGGGACGGGACGGGACGGGACGGGACGGGACGGGACGGGACGGGACGGGACGGGACGGGACGGGACGGGACGGGACGGGACGGGACGGGACGGGACGGGACGGGACGGGACGGGACGGGACGGGACGGGACGGGACGGGACGGGACGGGACGGGACGGGACGGGACGGGACGGGACGGGACGGGACGGGACGGGACGGGACGGGACGGGACGGGACGGGACGGGACGGGACGGGACGGGACGGGACGGGACGGGACGGGACGGGACGGGACGGGACGGGACGGGACGGGACGGGACGGGACGGGACGGGACGGGACGGGACGGGACGGGACGGGACGGGACGGGACGGGACGGGACGGGACGGGACGGGATGGGATGGGATGGGGGGACATGGAGTGTCAGAAAGCGTTGAAGGAGCTTCTAGAGCTTCTACTAAATTACATTGGCGGCACAGCTATTGAGTCGACTCAGAAGCAGAAGCTTCTAGAGCTTCTAGATTACATTGGCTGTGAAGGCGGTGAGAGCACAGACGTATGCAAGGGGGTGAGAGCACAGACGTATGCAAGGGGGGCAACAGCAGCGAGAGCACAGGGCGACGCCACCACCATCACTGCCAGTGCCAGCGACCGCCGCACCTAGACGTTGAAGCTTCTAGGGAGTTTTAGCTTCTCACCTTGCCCGTGCATGCCGTCAAAGCACAGAAGTAGGCGAGGGGAGCGACAGCCAGAGCACAGGGCGACGCCGCCACCATCACTGCCAGTGCCCGATACAGCGACCCCCGCACCCCTGGCGAGCTGAGAAACGGCCAGCCGAACAGCACTGGCCCAAGCACAGCCACTCCCACTGACAGTCCCACCACCGCTTGACTGTATTTCTCGGAGAATTTATCCAGCCAGCGTTGGAGAGGGGGTTTTTGGGATCTGGCTTGTTCTGTAAGCTGCATGATGCGTGCCACGGTGGATTCGGACCATTTCCGGGAAGTTTCCACGACGAGGAAGCCATCGACGGTGCGCGAGCCGCCCGGGAGGGAGTTTCCGGGAAGCTTCTCGACGGGGTGTGCCTCGCCGGTGAGGTGCTCTGTGGTGACGAGGGAGCGGCCGAAGCGGACGGTGCCGTCTAGAGGGACGACCTGAAGGGAGGGATGGAGGAACAGCAGCAGCACAAGCAGTGGGGGAAGGAAGTGAATAACACCCACTACATATTAATTGGTGAGGTTTTCAGTGGTAACTAGGGAGCGGCCGAAGCGGACAGTGCCGTCTAGAGGGACGACCTGAGGGGGGGTTTGTTGATGGGGGAAGGAGAGAGAGGAGGGGGGAGGAGAAAGCACCCCGATGGGGAACATGGAGCACATCACCAGGTGAGGTGCTCTGTGGTGACGAAGGAGCGGCCAAAGCGGGCGGTGCCGTCTAAAGGGGCGACCTGAGGGGGGGAGGAGGAGGATGGGGGGGAAGAGAGGAGGAGGGGGGTTTGGTGTTGGGGTAAAACAGAAAAGAGCAGCAGGAGGGGTTGGAAAAGCAAAGAAAGAAAAGGTAGGGGGTTGCAGGCACAATTGTTAATAGCACATTTGTTAACAGCACATTTGTTAACAGCACATTTGTTAACAGCACATTTGTTGCCGGTTTCTCACATTTCTCCTCGTTTCACTGACATCTATTTCGTGACTTTTGAGTCGACTCAAAAGCTGCCCACCTACATACCCGCCCTGCTTTTGAGTCGACTCAAAAGCTTTCTCACATTTCTCCTCGTTTCACTGACATCTATTTACTGCCCACCTACATACCCGCCCTACCCCCCACTCACCCCAGCACTGCCCATCTTCTTCCCTTTCAGCTCTCACCTCGCCTGCTTTGACCAGCACCATAGCACCAACAGGCACATCTGCTACTGGCACCTCCGACCATGAGAGAGCAGCCAGGCCTTTCAGAAGCACCTAGAGACATGCACTAGCCTGCTTTCCTTTCACCCCTTGAGCTCACCTCGCCCGCTTTAACCAGCACCATAGCACCAACAGGCACGTCTGCTACTGGCACTTCCGACCACATGCACGGACTGCTTCCCTTACACCCCTGTCATCCAAAACGCTCACCTCGCCTGCTTTAACCAGCACCATAGAGCCCACAGGCACATCTGCTACTGGCACTTCCGACCATGAGAGGGCAGCCAGGCCTGGAAACACCACCCCGCCTTCTCCCCCTCCCCGCCCACTGTCACCACCGCCGCTGCTGGTGCCGTTAATGCTGCTACCACTGCTGCTGCTGCTGCTGTTGCTGCTGCTTCTGCTGCTGCTGCTGCTGCCGCCGCTGCTGCTGCTGCTGCTGCCGCTATCATCGTTTCCAGACACGCCAGCAGCAGCAGCAGCACCGACAGAAGAGAGGCAGGAGGGGTCGATGAGGAGGGCGGTGGAAGGGTTGTTGTCCTGCAAGGAGCGCAGGTCGCCGAGAGCTTTCTCTGTGAAGTAATGCTCCGCTGGTGGATGGGTAGAAAAGAGGAAGGGTCATGGTAAGGGAAGGGTCATGGTAAGGGAAGGGTCATGGTAAGGGAAGAAGCAAGAGGGGTCGATGAGGAGGGCAGTGGAAGGGTTGTTGCCCTGCAGGGAGTGCAGGTCGCCGAGAGCTTTCTCTGTGAAATAATGCTCCGCTGGTGGATCGGTTGGGGGGGGGGAGACGGGGGAGCAGATGGGGAAAGGGAGAAGCAAGAGGGATCGATGAGGAGAGCAGTGGAGGGGTTGTTGTCCTGCAGGGAGCGCAGGTCGCCGAGAGCTTTCTCTGTGAATATAATGCTCCGCTGGTGGATGGGTGGGTAGTTGAGTGGCTGAGAGGCTCAGTGAGTGGTTGGGTGGGTGGGAATGGTGGCGCACCAATATGGGAGATGGAGCAACCTATACAGAAAATCAAGGCGCACCTATATGGGAGATGGAGCAACCTATACAGAAAATCAAGGCGCACCTATATGGGAGATGGAGCAACCTATACAGAAAATCAAGGCGCACCTATATGGGGTACTGCAGCGCACCTATATGGGGTACTGCAGCGCACCTATATGGGAGATGGAGAACATGGCGAGCAGCAGAGTGCCTTCAAGCGCATTCCCCATGGCCACTGACGCCAGTGCTGCCACGGTCATGAGCACGTGGATGTTCACCGACCCCCCTGCTATGTCCACTAGCGCATCCATGGTTGCTGGGATCTGGGATGGAGGGTGGAAAGCGAAGGGAGGAAAAAGGGGCGCAAGTGAGGCCAGAAACAGTCTTGATCCTTTTGAGTCGACTCAAAAGTCAGGAGGAAAAAGGTGAGCAAGTGAGGCCAGAAACAGTCTTGATCCTTTTTGCTTAAGCGATTTCTTTCAGGTTTGCCGCTACTCCCAATATGAACTTGGATCCTTGGGCCAGAAACAGCAGAGCACGTGACGCCAGTGCTGCCACGCTCACGAGCACATGGATGTTCACTGCCCCGCCTGCTATATCCACTAGTGCTTTCATGGTTGCTGGGATCTCGGCCAGAGGGCCGAGGCGGAGGAAGGAGAAGAGCGAGAGGAGCGAGAGGAGCGAGAGGAGCGAGAGGAGCGAGAGGAGCGAGAGGAGCGAGAGGAGCGAGAGGGGCGAGAGGAGCGAGAGAGAGAGAGTGAGACTGTGAGAACAGAAACAAGGAGAGCAGAAGCTTACAGCAGTGAGCGGGAGAGCCGCCGCCACTAGCCCCGTCTGCAGCATCTGCACCACCAACGGCTGGGATTGCATCTGGACAGCGAGCGGCACGAGGAGGGGTACAGCGTAGGCAGCAAGGCAGAGCGCGAGGGAGAGCGAGGCGAGGGGCGCGCTCTCCCTCATGCGGTCGGCCAGAGGGGCGATGCGCAGGAAGGAGAAGAGCGAGAGGAGGGCGCGCTGAGCAGTGTTGAGGGTGGTGGGCGCGGGGCAGCAGTGGTGGTGGTGGTGGTTGTGGTTGTGGGAATGGTCATGGGAGTGAGAATGGGCATGACTGTGATTGTGGGTATGGGCATGGTCATGGGCATGGGCATGAGAATGGGTGTGGTTGTGAGAATGAGCATGGGCATGTGCATGGTCATGTGCATGGTCATGTGCATGATTGTGGTAATGGCTGTGGTCATGGTCGCGAGCATGGTTGAGGTTATGGTCATGGGAATGGTCGTGAGCATGGGTATGAGCATGGCTATGTTGCTCATGATGATGATGCTCCACGTCATGATCATGATTATGATGGTCATGATGGTCATGATTATGATGCTCATGATGATCATGATTATGATGCTCATGATGGTCATGATTATGATGCTCATGATGGTCATGATCGTGCTTATCAACAGCAACAGCGCTCTGTGAACGTGCACGACTCGTATGCCCATGCCCATTCTCATGCTCCCCATGCTGATGCCCACGCTCATGCCCATGCTTATGCCCATGCCTGTGCCCATTCTCATGGCCATGCCCATAATCATCCTGCTTTTCCTCATGTCCATGTACAATCCCTCTCGCCTTCGTCTCACCCTCCCCCGCATTAGTCACACAATCCACTCCACCAGCCGCCGAATCCCCAGCGCGACCGCCATTTGGACCCCCAACCCCTGCGCTGCTGTGACATCGGATATTAGCACGCCTGCGCGCGCCGGCCCTCGCGCCCGCTACAGGCGTCCCCGTTATAAGCGACACCGACGAATCGCTACAGGTGAGAATCCCTGGCAGCTCCTGCTTCTGGTGGGGGACCAATGGCCGTGGAGCCAACACGGAGCTGTTTTTGAAATTTCTTGGGAACGGGCAGGAGAAAGACGCGCGGAGCCTGCCCGACGTCCGAACGGGCAGTGAGGAGAAAAGTCTGATTCCCGTGGAGCGGAGGTGCTGGTGAGAGGCCGGAGATGAGACCGCGAATCGATGAGATCTGCTGATTCGACACGCCGCCACTGTGGTGGTGCTGCTGCTGCTACGAGAGCACACGAAGGGCGCGTGCGGCGCCTGCGACGCGTGCGACGTGCGCGATGCCTGCGACGCCGGACCCCCAGCATGTGTCTGCGCCTTGGACTTGAAACTCCATTGTACAGATCGCGACTGCGAGGAACGTGCGTGCGAGGAATGCGCTCTGGGCTTAAAAATCCTCTCTGCTGCCCGAATCAGGGGAGCGGCGCTGGCGGAACGAGCCACTGAGACCGCCATGGCGAGGGCTCCTAGTCCGTGCTACCGCTGCTAATTACTGAATGGAAAAACTAAGTTGCAAATTGGAGAGGTCTGAAGCTTGGGGTGGGGGAACTACCGAAGCAGGGAAAATCGGATTTTATTTCAATGTGTTCCAGATTGGGCCGATGACGACGTCTGACACCCTAACTTCCTAGCAGCTGGGATTGCAGATGGGACGGATGCTGGCACCATGCGTGCATCACGAACGGATGGAGATTAGATTATCCGCACAGCGATCCTCTGCGAATGGCGTGAGTGGTGGCAATGCAAGCAGGGAATTACGCTAAATGTGACTGGAGCCCATGGATTTGCGATAAAATGGGTTACGAAGTTGAGTTCACAACGCACCGCGTGGCAGCCATGGCTGCCGAATGAAGCCGGAAAAATCGGGTTCCTTGGGCATGAGGAATCACGAAACAATGCACTGCACATGCGACGTGGCAGAACCTAGTAGGCAGAGGGAGGCAGCCATGGCTGAAACATTTGAAGTTTCAGAAATCCATGGTGGGAAAAAAAATCCTTCGAGCCCTCCTGAAAAGACGTGTGGGACGTACAAAACTCATAAGAAGCTCTCACGTACATTCACGACAAAAGTTGGAGTAACTACAGCATTCGCAGCGCTTCGCCAAATGCAATGGCGAGAGAAATGGTCTGTCTGGTGGTGTGCAGATCAGGCTTGGCGACAAAGATGGTAACATCAAATTGGATTGCCAGCGCAATCCTTGAGCGCCACGTGGAGAGCCATTCCACACCCGCGGCTGGAACATCAATCAGATGGCAGGTCAGCTAAAGACGTTCATTTGAATCCCAACCGCCTATCAGCAGAGCTTGCGTAGCTTTGAGCCAATTGCAATATTTCTCGAATGTGACCTAGAGTTCAAGGCAGGTGGAGGAAAATATCACAACCTCCGAAAGGAAAATTGTCACCTACAGAGAAACCCTATATAGAGATGACATAACTATAAAATCACTAGTGTAAGCTTAACCTCTACCAACCACAAACCAGCACTGATAGTGAACTAATAAAACTTGAAGCAAGATTCGTTCCTCATTCAGCAACAGGCCGGCCCTGCTCGACATTTGTCCGTTTTAGTTAAATCTTCTTTCCGCCACCAGCTTATCACTCATCGATGGTCTGGCCAAGCCAGGAGCGACCCCTCGAGCGAGACGTGTTGGTGCGGGAATTGATGCTTGCGCATCTTAGAAGCTTCTGGAACTCGGGCAGGCTGATTCTGCCATCCCCGTCTGTGTCTGCTTCTGCTATCAAATTATCCAACGGGAAATTAACTTGGGCAGCCTGGGGTATTTACAAGGTGGGAATATGTGGGGGAGGAGAAACGAGGATGTGCTCGCATCGAGCGATATATGTGCCAACATGGAACCGTAGCCCCACACTTGCAAGCAGTCCATCGTGAGCAGACAGACAGACGGACAGCCGCTTACCGTGCAAAGCTCCTCTGCGTTGATGCGCCCGTCGTTGTCAGTCAAAGCGTTGTGGTATGAAACAAGTACCTCAGACTTCAATACAACAAGTCAACATCCTCTGACCATGTGAGGCTCCTCTGTGTCTATGCACCTGTCGTTGTCGCGGTCAAACTGGAGTGGTGACTTTTGAGTCGACTCAAAAGTCACCTCTGCACCTGTCGTTGTCGCGGTCAAACTGGAGTGGTGCCTAGCAGCTGTACCATACGTAATGTACCATAACCTTCAGTTCACACCCGCTCACTCACCATGCGCAGCTCTTCAGCGTCGATGTACCCATCATTGTCGCGGTCAAACTGGAGTGGTGCCTAGCAGCTGTACCATACGTAATGTACCATAACCTTCAGTTCACACCCGCTCACTCACCATGCGCAGCTCTTCAGCGTCGATGTACCCATCATTGTCGCGGTCAAACTGGAGTGGTGCCTAGCAGCTGTACCATACGTAATGTACCATAACCTTCAGTTCACACCCGCTCACTCACCATGCGCAGCTCTTCAGCGTCGATGTACCCATCGTTGTCGCGGTCAAACTGTGCATGGTGAGTGAGCGGTCAAACTGTGCAAAGGCGACTCGTGAGCGCTCATGCCACTTGGCGGAGTCAGCCTTCTGAGATAGGATGGAACCTACCTGTACCGCACTGCACTCAGCCCACACCCCCTCACTCACCATGCGCAGCTCCTCAGCGTCAATGTACCCGTCGTTGTCGCGGTCAAACTGAGAGGGTGCCAACAAACATCTGAATAAGATGGAGGTACCTACCTGTACTGCACACAGCCCCTTACTTACCATGCGCAGCTCCTCAGCGTCAATGTACCTGTCGTTGTCGCGGTCAAACTGACGCCTATCACCTCTACCATAGCTACCTGCACCGCACTCAACACATCCTGACCATGCGCAGCTCTTCAGCCTCAATGTACCCACCATTGTCGCGGTCAAACTGGGTGAATGCGGCTCGCGAGCGCTCCTGCCACACTTGGTGGAGTCGGCCTCCTGAGATAGGATGGAACCTATCACCTGTACCATACCTACCTGTACCGCACTCAACACATCCTTACCATGCGCAGCTCCTCTGCATCAATATAACCATCATTGTCGCGGTCAAACTGTGCAAAGGCGGCTCGTGAGCGCTCCTGCCACTTGGTGGAGTCGGCCTCCTCCAGCTGCTGCACGTGCAGTGTGGCCGCTACAAATTCATCGAAATCGATAATCCCATCGCAGTTGGTGTCCATCTGAGTGGCAGGCAGGTGGGGAAGGGGGGAAAGTTTGGGTAGAGGATGAGGGGTGCTCCTCCTGCCACTTGGCGGAGTCGGCCTCCTCTAGCTGCTGCACGTGCAGCGTGGCCGCTACGAACTCATTAAAGTCTATTGATTTAATTATTCCATCCATCCCAGTTGGTGTCCATCTGAGTGGAAGGGGAAAAGATGGCTGGCGTATTCGCATCGCAGGACTCTTGGCTCCTGCTGAGACATCTCATTTTGAGTCGACTCAAATCTATTCGCATCGCAGGACTCTTGGCTCCAGCTGAGACATCTCAATGCCAGAAATACAAGAGAGGCGCAGGTAATTCTTTTTACAGGACCTAGAACGAGCTAGGCTAGGCGCCTCAAGCCATGGCTGGGATTTGAGGGATGCAGAGAGCACTCACCGCTTGGAGGATCTGGAGCACCCTTGATTCCTTCACTTCAAATGGCAGGTCGTGACTTAGCGCCTGATAGAAAAAAGGGGGGGGGGGGGGGGGGGGGGGGGAAGGGGGGGGAAGAGGATGTAGAGAGACAGAGGGTTGACTCTGATGTCAACCCTCAGATTGTGACTCAGTGTCTGACGAAGGTGAGGGAGTGAGCAGGGACTTTTGAGTCGACTCAAAAGTCATGGCAGATCGTGACTCAGTGTCTGACGAAGGTGAGGGAGTGAGCAGGGACTTTTGAGTCGACTCAAAAGTCATGGCAGATCGTGACTCTGTGTCTGACGAAGGTGAGGGAGTGAGCAGGGACTTTTGAGTCGACTCAAAAGTCATGGCAGATCGTGACTCCGTGTGTGACGAAGGTGAGGGAGTGAGCAGGGAGGGGGCGAAAGCGGAGCGGAGCAGCCTAGATTTGAGGTCGTTTTTGAGGCGCCTCAAAAACGACCTCAATGCACCTAGATTTGTGAGGAGTAGAGCT